CTTCCTCCCTCCCCCCCTCCATATATATATATATATATACATATATATCACACACACACAAATGAAATGAACATGGTAAATTTGCTCGTTTCCATACTAATATTCCAATTGATTTGTACCAAATAAGCAAGGTAACAAAGAGCAGCACACAGCAAGGCTGTTTGCACATGAGCCTAACAGGGCTAAGACTGCATTTATGGTGTACGGATGGCTATACTTCCCTCTCACAGACAGACATGGTTCCCACCTCGGGGCCTAATGATATCTCCCTCGTCCCCCCCCACCCCGCCCCATCTTTAGCCTCTAGATAGAAAATGCAAATGGAGATAGAGAACTTTGGAACCACAAGTGGAGCAGAAGATTTACCTACATTGCCTTCCCTTGTCAGAATGTCAAGACTGTGGCTCCATTACTATGAAAAGATGCTGCTTTCTAAAAGAACGCCCACATCCCTTTCTGTTTGAATAGCACTCTTACCTTGCAAAACATCTTCATAAATGAAGCCTCTGGGCTTCATATTCTAATTCTAGAGAATATGATGGTTTTTGCGGTCTGCTATGTTTACTGATAGCAAACTCCTCTCCTCATTTCTGAAGTGTTTATAATCAGCTCACATAATAATACACTGAGGAACAATTTATTAGAACCAGATAGGGCCCCTCCTCCATGTAACCAGGATCACTAAACAGAATTGTGCAAGTTAGCTCTTGTTTTGAGGTCATGAGGCTCCAAAGGAGAAAACTGTTTTCAATTTGTGCAAAGGCAATATAAGCCAGGGGCTTAAAGCCTACCTATGCGGACAGCCACTGATGCAAGCCTTATGTTTAATGAGGGACAAAACACAGAGAGAAACATGACGATGTCATTTTCCTTTTTACCTTTCAACATCTTGACGGCCACTGTTTTGCAGGTTGCTGTCTTGTCAATTCCAAAGGCATCTGCCTCAATCACTTGGCCAAAGGCACCTCTGCCAAGAGGCTTTCCTAGAACCAATGACAGTGACATTACAAAACACACTTTGATTGCCACACTGTCAAAAGGGCATATGAAGATTCCAATTGGTCAAGATGCTGGTGTATCCCATTTAGACCCACAGGATACTTTACTCCATTATTCTGCCTTTTCCATTTGCTTTCCAAAAATGCCCTGCTTTTGGACAGGCAGGCTCCTTACTACTAGAAAGCTAAATGGATGATTACCCAAAGTCAAGAGATAAAATTAATATTTATAAATCAGAATACATCATCTGAGTGGACTAGACTTGTCATTGTCTTAACAGACAGATGAGCTGGTAAAACCAATATCAAGTTAATACCAGCTGACAACTCACCTAGTTTCAGCCGGTCCCTGGGGAATTCCCACTTGCTGGCATCATAAGGCAAGCGCTCACAGCGCTCATCCAAGGGCAGTTCGTCTGGATCCATGACAATGGACAAGTAGCCTGTCTTCAGTTCCCCTTCATTGGCCTGGAAAGCAAAAATCCTTCCAGCCTTACACACACAGCGTCTTGTTTGCTTGTTGTTGTGTACACATATTGTTGTTTAATAAGGGCCTCATTCATGAGCGTCTCATTTTCCAGTGAAACTCGTGGAGTTTGAGAGTGGTCCTATTATAATCCTGCGTTTGGTGCCACTTCAGTTTCCAAAACGAGTTCAGAATAAGGTTTCTAAATCTTAATTACAGTGGACAGTCCAAACCTTTCACCCCTCTGGTGGCTCCCGTCAATTAATGCCCACAGTCCCCCCCAAGAAAATGGACAAGAATGTTATTGTAGCAAGGTAAAAATGTGCCCATTGAGCCAATAACAATGGGAAGAAGCCGCTGAAAGAAGCCCAGTCAGCTTCCATTAGTCACAAAAACCAAGACGCAGGGGACAGGAGGGAAATTATGTTGTTACCCGCTTAACGGTCCGCAGGACAATGACAAGAAGGAGCCAGAAGAACATGGCAATCACTGCAGTGCCCACGAGAATAATGACTTCCAAGTTGGTCTTTTCCTGGGCACCTGGAAGACACGTTTGAGTGATCAACAGCTGGAAACACATAGCCTGTGGTAGAAGGTGACGAAGGACTGACATGAAAGGAGAAAAGGCAGGACCTCATGTCACTCACTCTCACGACTCCTAGGGACCAATAGCCACAAGCTCCTTAAGCTGGATGGGGTTCACAGTACTCTTAAGGAACAGCAGAAACACACTGCTCATGAAGACATCCAGCAATAAAATTCTCAGTAAACCACAGGTGTGTAAATGTCTTAAGATGTGTTTGTTGAGAGAATTCTTTGCAGAAAAAAAGTGCTTCTACCAAAGTCTGGTTTTATTCTGATAGTCAATATCTTCGCTTGTGTTGCGTGGGAAAATTTATTGTGTAAGAAACTACACAGGAGGTACGTAAAGCTCTTTGCCCGGACAGCTACCTGTGACCGCACACCTGCTATGTGCTGGTCACTTTAAATACATCGTCCTTCTTTTCTTTCTCAGTAACCTTCAGTTTTCAGACGAAGAGAGAAGGTGTGAGAGATTAAGCTACTTGTCTGTGAGACACAGGAGGTCTGTGGGCTGCTCGAAGGTTACACTGAATCTGAACAAACTGAGCTGACCAATCCTCTGTTCTGTTCTGTGTGTGGCAGAAGCCTTAAAGAGGAGGAGGAGAAGGAGGAGGAGGAGGAGGAGGAGGAGGAGGAGGAGGAGAGAGAGAGAGAGAAAGAGAGAGGGGTGGGGAAGGGAAGAATGAGGGAGAGAGACAGAGAGAGACAGAGACATAGAGAGACACACAGAAGGATAGATAGATAAACAACGGGAGTGAAAGAGAGAGCGAGAGCGAGAGAGAGCGAGAGAGCGAGAGAGCGAGAGCGAGAGAGAGCGAGAGAGAGAGAACACCAAGAGAGAGGCACTATGGGAAAGGCTAGACAAGTGAGGCTGTGGGCTCCTCTCCAGAACACATCCCAAGTGGAGAGATCCAGGCAGAAGGCTCTCAGCAGCAAATGATTAGCACCAGGTGATTAAGAGACAACAATTATCATTTGGGGGCTCAGTGTCTCCACTCACACAGTGAGAGTCAAAGCGAGCCTCAAGCTGGGGGGATGGGGATGGCCCAGAAGCCAGAAGACAAGCAATTAATTAGTTGGCAAAATAAGAGTTACCAGTTGGGAGCCGAGCTCTGAGTGCATCTGTAAGTGGATTTGGTTTCCCTGGTGTTCCCAGAGAAGTAATGGTTCTATCTGTATGTAAAGGTCTAAAGGTCCACTCACGTAAGAGACAGAAGAGAGGTCGAAGATTCAACGGTCTCAATCAGTCTAAGTGTGAATAGCCTCATATTAACATCCGAGAGCTGAACTTCTGGAGAAGCATTCAATGTTTACCCACTCTCTCCGCCCCTCGTTCCCGCTCTCCCCCATCTCCAGGTAAGTCTACATAATGTCTATGCCACTGAGATATTACGTGCCCACTTAGACATGGAAACATAATGCAGATGGCTAATGGGTGGAGGCAGAGTACCAGAGAGAACTGGCGGGTGCATCCTCCCTGGGTTGGCACTAAGCCATGAGCCCCTTTGGTACTGACAGAACTACCATGCCCTTTGGCATCTTCATTTGCAGCTGCAGTTTATGGAACCCTAACAAATCTTACAGATGTGAGAACATGCGAGTGGCTCTAGGTGACGCATTCGATGTGAGTTTAACAGATGAAAGGGACCAACGTCTAGACGTTGAGATGTTAGAATTCTGTCAATCCTACCTCTCTAACCACTCCCATCATCCCCTCGCACACCACTCCTTCACTCACACAACAGAGTCACATTGTCCCCTTAGTGGGCTACAAAAACAAGACCCAGAATACTCTTCTTAAGATGAAATGTTCTGTCACAGAATACTGACTGAAAAACAAATGTTGGATTTCACATCGATCGATCCTACACACACACACACACACACACAGTAAAGGGAAAGAAGTTTTCTTTCATATTTCAATTATAAGCCCCAATTTCCCACATCATAAAAACAATCACCTATTAATCATCTATTGTTTATAAGTGAATCTTGCCTCTGCTCTGAGGAAATTCCTCAACCCTTGACCCTTGTCATTAACTGAATGACAATGTCCAACACCAAATCTTTTTTCCCCCAAGTAGATATTGAAGTGTCATTTCTGTAAGTTAACCATTCAAACAAAGTGAGAATTGGGAACAGGAGGGTACTTATCACTCGTGGCTAACAGTTTTCTCACAGTGAGAACTACATGGACAGAAAATATGGTACAGACTGAAGCACATGCTAATTTTGCTTTCTGGTTCAAAGGATGTATACCTGTCGAAGCCAGATTATGAAGAACACGTGGAGAAACCCTAACTCAGAACACACAGATGAATAAGATCTGAAACTTTCTGAGCATACACCCCTTATTTCATGAGACAGATCCCAGTCTAAAAAGGTAGGTGCACTGAAAATATTATGAAATATTACCTTCAGGCTATGTATACTTGTGTAACACTTAAATTAACATTTTTAGGTATTAAACACTTAACCATCATGAGTGTCACCATGAATCACCCACATGGCATCCTACTCAAAGTATTTGGGGCTATGTACAATACAATCTAACTGCCAGAAACCATCTGATGAACCTAGGACATCACACCAACCTTCTATTATGAAGACTGTCTCTGCTCTTGCACAGCCAAGAACATTGCAGGCCTGGCAGGTGTAGAGGCCCCCGTCCTCCTTCCTCACCCTGCGGATAGTCAGGTTCCGGTTCCCATCTCTCAGTACAATACCTAAAGGAAGAAGGAAATTCTTGCTTTACTTCTGATGGCGTGATCTGTGCTTTGTCCAGGCCATTTAAAAAAAAATTGCTTCCCTTCATCTCAGACCATTATCCAACTCCAAAGAAGTGCACAGGGTTGAGGACTGACTGGCCTCCCATGGGCTCTCCATGCAAACTCAACAGGACTCCAAATAAGCTGCTTTTCACTCTGAAATGAGCTAGACTCTGTACCCACATACCTCTTTGTGTGTTCCGGTGGGAGAGGGCATGCTTGTGTATAGAGGCCAGAGGTCAATGTGAGGTGTCTTCTTTATTGCTTTCTGCCTTATTCTTTGGAGACAGGGTCTCTCTCTCTCTCTCTCTCTCTCTCTCTCTCTCTCTCTCTCTCTCT